TTTTAAAGAACTTCTTGCAAGACATGTGTACTAGTAACAAATTCCCTCAATTTTTGTTCATCTGAGAAAAATCTTTATTTGTCCTTCACCTTGAAGAACAATTTCAGACTACAGAATTCTAGGCTGGTGTTTGATTTTCTCAACACTTATAAATATTTCACTCTACTCCCCTTTTCTTGTATGGTCTCTGAGAAGTTGGATTTAATTCTTATCTTTGCTCCTCTTATCTATGGATTTAATTCTTATCTCTGCTCCTTTTATCTATGGGGAAAAAAGTAAGCTGTTTTTTTCCTGTGGCTTCTTTCAGGAATTTATCTTTGATTTTCCATAGTTTGAAGATGATATGCCTTGGTATTTGTCTTTTGCATTTACCCTGCTTGTTCTCTGAACTTCCTGGAGCATCAATTTTTTTTTTTAACCTGACATTAACTGGAGAAATTCTCAGTCATTATTGTTTCAAATATTTCTTCTGTTCCTTTCTCTTTCTTCTCCTTCTAGTGTTCCCATTATGCATATATTACAGCTTTGTATATAGTTGTCCCTTAGATACTCTGTTCTGTTGTTTTGGTCTTAGTTCTCTTTGCTTCTCAGCTTTTGAGGATACTGTTGATATATCCTCTAGCGTAGAGTCTTTCCTCAGCCACATTCAGTCTACTTATAAGCCCACAAAGGCATTCTTCACTTGTGTTACACTGTTTGTTTGTTTTTACCTCTAGCTTTTCTTTTTGTTTCTTTCTTGGGATTCCCATCGCTCTGTTTACACTGCCCATCTGTTCTTGCATGCTGTCTACCTTGTCATTTAGAGCCCTTACCACATTACTCATAGTTGTTTTAAATTCCCTGTCTGATAATTTCAAATCCTTGTCATATCTGATTCGGATGTGTACTCTGTCTCTTCAAATTATTTTTTCCCTTTTTATATACTGTTTAATTTTTCTGGATGGCTGGATATGATGTACAGAGTAAAAGAAACTGCTGTAAATAGGCCTGTAGTAATTTGGTAGTAAGGTGTGGGGGTAGAGAAAGCATTCCATAGTCCTACGATTAGGTCCCAGGCATTGAGTGAGCCTGTGCCTCTGGACCGTGAACTTCACCAATACTGCTCAGTTATCTTTCTCCCCCCCAAGATGGGACAGGATGGCTAGAGTGAGCTGGAGTCAGGTGTCTCTCTTACCCAGGTTAGTTAGGCTCTGGTAATAACCCAGCAGGTAGGTTCTGCTTAACTACTTTCTCCTGAGGGCAAGCCTTGTTAAGAAGAACAGTATACTCTGGCATATTCCAAAATGGTTCCTTTTTTACCTCCCCTGCTGGAAGCCTGAGGATATTTTTCTCCTCTATTTCATATGGGAATATGGTCAAGCTCCTGGAGGTAAATTTCACAGTATTTCCTGGTGCACCCCTCCTTTCCCCATAACTAGGTTCTCTGAAGATTTTAACTCTCAGAGTTGCCCACACAGAGCCCCCAACCATTCATCGGTCACAGGTCAGGTTTCCAAGCCCAGAAGTGGTTCCAGCAGTGGTTTCTGCCCAAGTCTCTGACCTGGTTAAGCAATGACACCCTGTATTCACCTGCTCTCCAGTCTTTGGGTAGCAACGTGCCCCGTGTTCTCCCCTTTCTTATGGAACCAGAATGAATTGTGGATTTTCCAGTCTGCTCAGCTTTTTACTTATTAGAACAGAATAGCAACTTCCAAGCTCTTTACATGTGAAACCTGAAACTCATTATCAGGTTCAAAGGTTTGTTTGTTTGTTTGTTCCTCTATAATTTGATTTCTTAAAAAACTAATAGATGTTACAAATAGCTGACAGTGCCTCACAGACCCAAAGGCTGCCAGTCTAGTGCGGCGGTGACAGCTGAAACACAAGTGCTGACGTGTGTGCTTTGGCAATTGCGTCTGACCTGTTTTCATCCCTTAGGCCAGACCACTTTCTGGTGTGTGTCTCATGTTCCAGCTCCCTGCCGGTAACAGCAGTGGAGGTCACAGGTGACCTCCAATTACCAGCTCACAACCCAATCCTTTTCCACCTCCTAGACCGCGCTCTCCTATTTCAGCCCAGAGAGGGGCAGAAACAGCAGAGCAGAATTATTGTAAGATTTCTAGATAGAAGATAACATGCTCAACTTGAAAGTGACTTTTTAAAAATAATGTCACATACACAGATTATCTTCCAAAGAGTACAGTATGAAAAGAGAAGGGAAGAAAAGAGTAACTTTACAGTAGAGAAACCTAACAAATACCATCTCCAGTCAGGTGATCAAGTTTAATTCCCTAGTCAGCCATGATGATATCATATACCTTTGATATGATGTGATGAGAATGGCACTTTACATCTGTGGTCTTCCTTTCCAAAATACATGACCTCAGTCTAATTATAAGGGGGGGAAAACAGACAAATCCCAACTGAGGGACATTCTACAAAATAACTGCCCAGTATTGCTCAAAACTGTCAAAGTCATAAAGAACAAGGGAATTCTGAGAAACGGTCACAACCAAGAGGGCCTAAGGAGACACAGTGACTAAATGTTTGTGGTATCCTGAAGGAGACGCTGGGACAGAAAGTAAAAACTGAAGAAATGTGAATAAAGTATGGACTTTAGTCCACAGTAATGCATCCACACTGGATTATTAACTGTAACCAACGTGCCATGCTAATGTAAAACAATATTAATAGGGAGAAGCAATAAGGGGTATATAGACACTCTCTTTACTATCTTCACAGTAATTCTGAAAGTCTGAAACTATTTTGGACTGAAAGTCCAAAATAAAAAGGTTATTTTTTATATTAATTTCAATTAAGTTTTTTTATATCACATAAACAGTCAACAACATAAACATTAAAACTTTTGGACAATATAAAAATTTGCAACTCTAACACACAGAAAAATAGCAGTTAGGTAAAAATGCTTGTAAATATGACAAAAGTCATATGACTTTTGACATATTATGAAATAGTGTACGTGTATTATATATAATCTTAAACATCGTAAGTATACAAGAGAGACATTGAGAAAAAAGTTAAATAGGGAAAAGAAAACTAGCATTCATACAAAAGGAAATGCAATGTACTAAACAACGATAATAACATTTTTAAAACTAAAACAATTAAGTATCATTTAAGTAGCAAAATTGTTTCAAATAATACCCAGTGATGGTGATGCTACATTTAAACCATTTCACTTATACAGTATTGGTAGCCATGTAGACTGACTTCTAAAAACCTCTTTTGAAAGCACTATGGACTGAACTGTGCCCCCCAAAATTCACATTAAAGCCCTAACCCCCAAAGGGATGGTACTTGGAGATGATGCCTTTGGGAGATAATCAGGTTTAGATGAGGTCCCAAGCATGGATGGGCCCTTTTGATGGCATCAGTGCCTTTATAAGAGATACCAAAAAGCTAGTATGTTTTCTCCCCCTTCTCTCTCCCTCTTTCCTAATATGATGCCATTTCAAATCATTACAAACCTGTATGGATTTACAAAATGCTTAATTTTACAATAAAATTAAGTGCAACCAAAAGCAAAAATCTACAATATGAGGTTAACCATGTACATAAACAGGAGCAAGATGTACAGGACTCTCCTGCTCTTTGAAAGTTCACCTGACACCGTTTCACTTTTACAAAAGAACTACATTAGTACCTGTTTTCACTAGTGAAAAGAAAAAAGGGGATTTTCACATTTTTAAGAAAGACAAAAAGTGAAAAAAAAATTCAATGTTTGTTTTGCAGCAAGCCCTAATAGAAAGCATGCACTCTGAGCAGGGTCCATCATGAGGAGCCATACTCAGCATCTCAGCTTCATCCCACCATACTTGTAACTATATCTGTGAGCATCTATGCTTTATCTCAATTTACTTTGCACATTCCTACTTTTACTATATATCAGTGTTATTTTAGTGTTTAGCATATTTATGTATTATTTGATATGATTTGGTAGGTTATTTTTAAGGCCTGGGAATGCTCAAAATTTTTTCCATATAAATTCAAGGTCTGTCCAGAAAAAGTCCAGCCATTGTTAACATAACAAGAATGGATTGCATGACATCAGTGTGACCTGGCAGCCAAGGAGAGTGGACTGGAATGTACATGCATGAACAATGACTTCACTGTACTAGTCAGTGGGGGTGGTAGACACTGTTGAGTGAGCATGTGTACTGTGTGGCCATTGTAGTCAAAATGACTGAGTAAGTACAGCAACAAATCTGCATCAAATTTTTCATTAAATTTCCTCTGTGGAAACTATTCAGATGTTTAGAAGGCTGCAGCTATTGGAAACTGGTGATTAGCAGCTTCATCACAACAACATGCCCACTCATTCATCACGTCTCGTACAGTTTTTTGGCAAAACATCAAATCACCCAAGTGACTCAGCCCCTCTACAGCCCAGATTTGGTGCCCTGTGACTTCTTGTTTTTCCCAAAACTAAAATCACCTTTGAAAAGGAAGAGATTTCAGACCATTAATGAGATTCAGGAAAATACAACAGGGCAGCTAATGGTGACTGGGAGAACTGTGTGAGGTCCCAAGGTGCCTAATTTGAAGAGGACTGAGGCATCACTGTCCTACGTACAATGTTTCTTGTATCTTGTATCTTCTTCGACAAATGTCTCTATTTTTCATAGTACGTGGCTAGATACTTTCTGGACAGGCCCCATAAATTAATGGTAATTGCTTCTTCGCTTTATGCCATTTGGGCTTACATAAGGTTTCATAGCACCACTCAACTTTCGGATAAAGGGGTTAGCTATAAACAAAATTTAATCTGCTGGAAAACTTTTATTTTAGTTCAATTAATGTTATAAGATATAATACTCAGAAATATAATCAATAGTACCTTTACATAGATCCTTTCTTAAGTATAACCATATCCTAACTCTTGAATTACAGAAAAGTGGCTTCCTTCTAACAGTGGTCACTAATCTCAAAAAATCTTACATTTTATATAAGAGACTATCAATTTTTATTTACTTCATACTTTTTATTATGTTACTACTTACACAGAGATGGTTTCCAAGGCATCTTCAAAAATGTCCTGAGGGGGAACAAAAAATACAATGAGTTTCTCCAGAATCAAGAGTTCTAAAGGTAAACAAGAAAATGAGTATATTGGTATGTGTGGGGCAGGGGGGATATGGGGGGACAGTTTTTATGGGATGCAGTTGAATCACTCAGCTCTCATAATGAAATGCCTTTCAGAGAAAGAAAGCATATAAATTTAAGTGAGGTTTAACTTTTTTAAAAAATAAGACTGGTGCCTTGGTGTGGCTCAGTGGATTGAGTGCCACCCTGCGAACCAAAGAGTCACTGGCTCAATTCCCAATCAGGGCACATGCCTGGGTTGCAGGCCAGGCCCCCAGGAGGGAGCAAGTGAGAGACAACCACACATTGATGTTTCTCTCCCTCTCTTTCTTCCTCCCCTTCCCTTTGTAAAAATAAATAAATAAAATATTTTTGTAATGAAAATAAGACTGGTAAAATACTTGGCTAGCAATCAAACTGAGGTAATTTGAAAGAGTGTGACTTCTTTAATGGAGTTTTCGTCTACTCCTCAGTTTCATTTATCCCAGATAGAGAATAAAACAAATAATAAGACTACCCTGGCCAGCGTGACTCAATTGGCTGGGTGTCATCCTGCAAACCAAATGGCTGCAGATTCAATTCCTGGTTGGGGCACATGCCTGGGTTGTAGGTTCAGTCCCCAGTTGGGGAGCATGCAAAAGGCAACCAAGAGATGTTTCTCTCCGTCTCTTTCTCCCTCCTTTCCCCTCTCTCTAAAATCAATCATGTCCTCAAGTAAGGATAAAAATTTTAAAAAAACAGTATTTACCCAATTTAGTCTTCTCTTTCTCCAAGTTAGCATTTCTGGGCCTTTATTTCACATTAGCTTCAATACCTTCCTAGCTAGTCTTCCTGCCACCAGCCTATCCCCCAGTTTAATCTATACATCTGTGCCACATAGGACAGCCCTTAAGGAGTATGTCAAAGGCCTGTTCAAAAGCTACAAAAGGAGAAAAACCCAACCCAAACACACAGGCACATTTATATCTACTCACAAATCTGCACATGCACCCCACACTCATACACACTGAGACTCAGACACTCACAATCTCACATATAAACTTATAGTCACATACACAGTCATTCACAAATTCAAACATATGCAAACCTCCCTCATAGTTGCAAAATTCAAATCAAAGCTCCTTATACAGGTATCTGAGACCCACCATAACCTGGCTGAATTGTCAAAGTATCCTTCTCTCACATCCCTCCCACCTTTGCCATAGCCCAAACCCAAGGACTGCACTGGTCTCCCTACTCCCATGCTTGGCATTCTTCATTTAATTCTTCACACAACAGCCATAAATATTCTTTTCTTTTCTTTCTCTTCTTTTAATAAGCTCATACGGTTATGATTGGTATGTAGCTAGGAAAGGAGAGCAATGGGAGCTAGACATTGAGCTTAATAAACTGGGGAACATATGCCTATTTGCTTCACCAGGCAGATACAGCTTTTCAAACTCCAGGGGAACACAGCACTGTGGTCTGCCAAGGGGATTAACACTCCTCCCTCCCCTACTCCAGTACCAGATTGCCAGGTAGGAGCAGGGGAAAGAAGGCAGATGCACAATAGAAGTCAAAATGGTGCGGGGGGGGGGCAGGGTGCTAGACCAAAAAGGCCTGTTGGTCTAGCCTGGGGAAAGAAGGGATTGGTTTGGAGATAAGCCCATCCATGGCCCACAAAAGGTTGGGAAGTTGATTGGTCATTTTGAGAAAGCACCTGGTCCATCCCTAACCCAAGGTCCTGGTTATAATCCCAGGACAACAAAGAACTCTCTCTCTTGCCCACCTGGCGATGACCTCACCCTTTTCATTCAAGTGCTCTCTCACCTGGCAGCACATGACTATGTGGGTCTAACAGCTACCAGGTGCACAGCAGATGGTGTAGACTCCAAAAGGACTAAGGCACTCTCTCTTGCCCACACACTAATGTGCTCACCCATGTGCTTGCACGTTCTCTCTCCACAGCCATCTGGCCTTAGCCTGTTGCATGGCTGACAGCCACATAGACTTCTGCACCAGAGCAGCTAGGAATAAGCTAAGCTGCCTGGTGGGGACTGAGATCGCTTAGCAGCTGCCTGCAGATTCCAAAGGACTAAGCTCTAATGTGAAACTCTGCACACTGGCTTTTCTGTCGGCCCTGCTGAAGACACAGGTGGAGTTTTCCATGGTCAGAGAAAGGGAAATGGGGCAACGGAAACCCAGGGGGCAGCTTCTATTTCCACACGAATAAACCATGCCACACCACATTCTCCCAAGCACGGGTCCTTGGAATGCCTTCCTTGTGATCTCGTAAAAGGGCCAATTTCCACCCAGAACAATACCATTCCACTGCTCTATACCTCTCGAAGAGCTTTCCCCTGCACAGAGAATACCCAAACTCCTTCCCAGGATCTAGAAAAACCTACATGGCTCTGCCCACCTCCCCACCCACCTACTCCCTTCCTCACTCCACATCAGGCACAGGTTTGACTTTCTGTTCCTTGAACAAGGCAAACTCATCCACACCTCCCCGAGTCACTCCCTCTTTCACAGAATGCCCTTCACTCAGCTCTTCCCATGGCTGACTCATTGTCACCCTCCTGTTTTCAGCTCAGAAAGTCACCTTCTCAAGGAAAGTGGCTCTGATAACCCTAATTAAAATTACTAAAAATAGCAGTTTACTTATAGTTTTTCATCATCTGATTTATTTCACTCATAATCTTACCATAATCTCTAATCACTTTATTATTCATTTGGCTATAATCTGTCTCCATTAGAGCAGGTTCTTATTTACCATGTTTACAGAAAACTCGCCAGGGGTTGGCACAGAGTTGTTGTTCAATAAATGCATGTTTTTAATGAATATAAATTGACTATGGACTGTCACAGCACTGATCATATCGCCGCATTGAGAGTTACAATATAAACGTGAGGAAACAGGGTTCCAGAACTTTTCCCTGTGTGACCACTAATATTGAGCAATGTTTAAACTGCACCTCATTCTGCCTTTATGCAGGACAGGAAAAAATTGTATAAATACTTAAAAAAAAAGAAAAGAAAAAGAAATAATATTACAAGTAGTGGCAGAACTGAGTTTAGAACTGGGGACCCCTGATTATTAATCTACATTAATGCTGTGTTCTGCAAGGGAGGGAGGTAGAGTCAAGGGCAATTTCATCTTATCCTTACTCTCCTGGAGCAGCATCAGAAGCTCATAAACTAGCTACTGGCAGAGAAATGAGCTAGTCCTGATGTAAAATATCCTAAGTCAAAAGTAAAAAGATGCTTCTCTGGCCTCTATAAAAACTAACTAGAAAAAGACTCCTTTCTCCAAATCAAAAGTCTGAAGAGGCTCTTGATGTCACAGCTTTTGCCATGCTGAATCACAAGTCAATGTCCCATGTGCCAGCACACGGGTTATCACACAAGGGGTTGTGGAGAGGAAGACAGAATCTGCTGCAGAAACCCCAATCCAGCTATAATAATTAGTCTCCTGTGCCAGACACCAGCTCCCACGCCCTCTGGCACCACCGTTAACCCTGCCTGAGCTAACCTTTACTGAGCAAGGAGAGTTGAGGAGAGCAAACTCCTGGAAGGCTTCCTTCCATGCATCTGTCCCCCTCCTCACAGACCTCAACCCAGAGCAGGGCACACAGCAGGCACTGAAATACTGGATGGGCTTCAGAAAGAACAACTTGGAAGTCAGCTCTCCATTTAAAGGAATAGGCTGATACTTATACCTAAACAAGAAATACCCCCATCACAACCCTCAGAAAAAGAAAAACAAGTATCAAGTAAGAAATCATATATAATTAAGTCACTTCTTTTCATTTTCTCATATGCAGGGAGGGTTCCCTAAATAGAGCGCACACTACAACGTGACCACAGCCAACAATACTGCACGTATATTTAAAAGTCACTGAGAGTAGATCTTAAAAGTTCTCACCACAAAAAAAGGAAAACTGTAAATACGGGAGGTGATGGATGTGTTAACCCTAACATGCTAGTCATTCTGAAATAATACATATCTCAAATCATGATGTTGTATACCTCTAATTTATCAATGTATATATTACTTATCTCAATAAAGCTCGGAAATTTTTAAATAAAAAATATTAACATCTATTTTTTTCCACTTAGATGAAAATTAAATAGAATCCCTCCATTAGTAATGCAGAAAACCAAAGGAGTTCTAGGACATTGTTGTAATAAACTAGAGAAAGGGAGGGAGCAACAGAAAGAGGGAAGGAGGGAAATTTGTCTATGAAGGCCAAAGGTGAAACTGTTCTTCACTTTTTTTTTAATCATTGCTGAAGTACAGTTTTCTGCCTTTTACTCCCATTCCAGCCCACCCACCCAACTGTTCTTCACTTTAAAAAGAGGAAAGGTAAAGAGCAGAACTAAGATTTACTGATATCTTATCATGTGCCAAAGACTTTACAAAAGTTATCTTTTCTGTTCCTCCCAATTTACAGGAAGTAAATCTTAGTCGCAGGTAATTTACCTACCCAATATTACACAACTGCTAAGTAAAGGAATTAGAATTCAATCTCAGGTTTCCTTAACTGCAAAGTAGTTTTTAAATGTTAATGAAACTATCCAAAACTTGGAACTGAGGCGGTTGGGCAGGAGTGGGCTGGAGGCTGGGGTTGGAAAGGAGCAGGCATATTGCAACATGGTTGGAACAGGCCCTCCAAGAATTATTTCATTCTCTAGGAGAATGTACTAGTGTTTGATTTTGCTATTTACTATCTGATTAGAGCACAGACACAGAGAGTTTCTGTTAATGTGTAGATTTCTGAATGGTATAAGAACCTCAATATAGTTATATTGCCCTATAGACAATATCCAGTGTTTTGTATAGCCTGGCAATCTTAATATTTCTTTTTCTTTTTTAAGCCTACAAACACCTGGTTCCTCAAATACCCTTTGAATCAGCTTACCATCTTCAATGGTTTCTGCCTTGATGGGCTATTATTTAATAAAATTTTG